CACTCTCAAGATAACCCACTAACTCATGAACCCGCTAATCTATTTACCATGTGAATGAATTATTCCTTTAATCATGTGAATGGATTAATCTATTAATCACATGTATGGATTAATCCATTCATGAGAGCAGAGCCCTAACCACCTCTCAAAGGTCCCAAATGATCCTTTTAATACCTCACAATGGTGATTAAATGTCAATATAAGTTTAGGAGGAAACAAACCATATTCAAATCACAGCACTTTTCATGACGGCTGGACAACAGTGGGGTATAAATGTCCCCCCCACCGGATGATTTGACTCAAGGCCTCAAACATTGACAGCAGGCTCCTCCCACTCCACTTCCTCCACATGGTCTCAGGAGAGCTGCCAGCAACTCAGTGGGATCACCTTTGTCCTCATTCACATCCAGTAGAAAGGAATATCTCATGCCCAAGCCTCTAGAAAAAGGCTTAAAACACACACACACGCACACACACACACACACACACAACACAGAACATTCATCTAAGGGAGTTGGAAGTTAGGAATAGGGATATTATCCAATGGTTCCAGTCAGTATTAGTTGAGGGTAGCTCCTAGAGGGCATTAATTCCCTAGTATTTCTGGCCTGGTTGCTCCAGAGCACAGCAAACAGCAGAGAGTACCTGCAGATAAAGGGGTACAGGTGCTGGCACTTGGAAGTTGACCTGGCATGCACAGAGAGAGAAAGGCTGAAAGGATACAGCAGAGTACCAGCAGAATGTTCCTTGCACATATGCATTGTAAACTGTGAGGCATACTAGCCACAACAGGATAGCTGGGACCTCTCACATAACAGAAACTTTAGCTTCTAGTCTCTATCAAAATTCTGGAAGGTTCAGGACCCTGTTTCATGTGGGTCCTAGGTGAGATTCCCCTCTGCCAACTATCTGGGATGATACTAACCTAAAATATCAGCAAGTTTGAAAAAAGCAGGACCTACTCATGAAACAGTTACAAAGATTAAAGATGATAATGTACATAAATTGCATAATACCATGTTCTAACACAAGGCAGGTATTCAAACGAATGCTAGCTAGTAGTAGGCAGTAGCAGTGATAATAATTTAATATTAATCAGTAACTAATGTTCTTCAGGTATTTTGGCTATTTTGTCCCCAGGGCAGGGATTATTATCTTTGGGGAGAAAAAAGAGATGGGACATTCATGCCCATTAATCTCTTGAATTTTTCAGCCCATATTTGAAGATTCTTTTTAAACTATTTTTTCTCATTTATTGTATTTTTATAGGAAATTACAAAGATAATTCAGAAAAGTTCCCTGGACCCTTCATCTAGTTATCCCTGGTAGTTTTAGTTTATATAATAGAAAAAAATCACAACTAGGAAGTTGACATTAGTACAGTGTATGTGTGTCATTTTGTTACATGTGTACATTTGTGTAACTACCACCACAATCCAGATATCAGACCCATGCCATCCCAGAGAGCCCTGCTATGCTGCTTCTGGATACCCAGTATCTCTTTGCCCTTTGCCTCACATTGGTCTGCTTATGCCCAACCCTTCCTGTCTGCCAATAATAAAAAGCAAGGTGGGCAGGTTGGGCAGCGAAAGTTCACTTTTGAATGTTCAAATCAATGTCATAAAGTTTAGTAAAACATTATAAAAAGAATAGAGAGACAATATAGAATTATATAAAACAAAAATAGAAATGGAACAATTAGTCCAACCATATAAATGAAAGATATAAAATAAATAGGTCTTAGAGGCTTAAATCAACCACTAAGAAATATTAAAAAGGCAATCAAGGAAAAAACTTTACAAACAGGTATTGAGCAAAAACTGCTAAAGGTTGAATATACATGCATCCTCATAATAACCAGTTCGACTTATAGGCACGTACTAACAGAAACAAGTATACATGCCCACCATACATACATACATGTATGTTTATTGCAAGTAGCTATTATTCTTATAAGTTGAAAACTACTCAAAAATTCATTATCAGAAAATAAATAAATTGTGATTTGTTTGTGTAATGGAATTCTACCCCATAATGAAAGTGAACTATAAGTACAAACACCAGCAAAATATATATTGAATGAAAGAAACCAAAAACAAGAGAATACATACTGCATAAATAATCTCTAAAAATTTAATCAGTTATCTCAACCAAGGCAAGGTGTTAGAATCGAGACAGAGGTTGCTTTTTGAGGTTCCTTATTTGCATCATGGAGGAAATCTCCTTGGAAAGCCATTTCATAGGTTTCTTACGATGATTGAATTAGATGGAGAGAGCAGCAGGCCTGTGAGAGGCACCCAGTTTGCCCCCATGGCATTAGATTTGCATGGCAGGATGCTTCTGACCTTTGCACAAGGATTTCACCAGCGTTTCCTCTTTTCCTCCATCCCCTTTTCTCCCCTAGGCCTCTCTGGTAATACTCTGTGTCTGGGGCAGGAGAGAAGACCAAAGAGTCATGTGGTACACTTGGCTTGCTCTCAGCCCCAGGTTGGGTCTAGCATGTACCTTCTCTACAAGAGTTATAGGAGGGAGAAGCCCATTGAGATAGGCCACTGCAAATTTTGGATGCTCAGTGATTTGTGCCAAAAAGAGGTAAACCAGACCCCTGAACTGTCATTCTTAGAAAGGATGCTGACTTTGGATAAAGTCTGAAGACATAAAGGGTAAACAGTTCCCCCACAATGATGCCAATTCTCCCTACCTGAGCAGAGGGCCTCAATGTGTCCAGACTGTCTGTATAGACCATGAGGTCTATGCTGAACATCTACTCTCCTGGGAGTCTAGAATTTTGACACACGCAGAGGTTGGGACCAGTTCCCAACAAAAACCATGGGCACTGATCTCTAACCTGCTTCTCTGGGATATGACATTTCATAAGTGTCATCACAGCTCAATGCTGGGGATTAAGCCTGTCCCCATGTGATGGCACTGGGAGAGGATTTTGCAAGCTTCCACCTGGTTTGTGTAGACTTCACCCAGGCACGCACCTTTTCTTTCTAATGATTTTGTTTTGCTTTTTGTCCTGAGTATGACTGTACACTAGTCCTCTGAGACCTCTAATGAATCACCCAACCTAGTTTGCTCCTGGGGACCTGAGACATACACGCAGTGTAAGTCATGGTGTGGTGTGTGTACAGGGAGAACACAGGGCTCCCCCATGCTTGGAACAGATGTCGGGGATGTTCCTGAATCCAGAATAGTCAGAAGAGGTGGGCTGGGGTCAAGAATGGCAAGGTTCCCTCAAAGACCACTGCACCAGACCCTAAAGACCACTGAATATGTGTGAGTCATATGAGTGAAGATATGAGTGTAGGGCTGAGAATATGAAGGTATGTGTGAATATGTACAAGTATGTCCATGTGTCTGCAAGTAGTGAGATTGTGTGTGTATGTGGGTGTATTAATGTGGGTGTCATTGAAAGTAAGGGTGAGTGAGCATGCATGTGGGTGTAGTGAGACCCCAGTGAAGGACACAATGCCTTTTAGAACTTTATAGCAGCTGGTGCACAGTGTAGCCATTAAAGGACTCATCGAAGATATTTGCACAAAAGCTCATTTCTCCAGACAAGAGCTGTTCCAGAGCTGGTAATATTGCACCCAAGGCACCGTGTATATCAAAGATTGGCAAATCAAAGTCTGTGAAGGGGAAAAAAAACATACAATCAGCTACAGAGGAAATAGTTTTCAAGGGCAAATAAACGGCTCCTGCCCCTCAGGCCCTGGTGGGCCCAGGGAGTAACTGTCTACAGTCAGCTAGTGGCACTAAGAGGGAGGGACACCAGTCTAGTCATTGGGGACCCATAGCAGGTGCACCTGGAGCCCATAACCCGGCAGGATCCAGGAATGATGGCAAGGGGCAATGACAATGTTCCTGTCCTCCACTCGTACATCTACATCCAGGCACAGGGAGAGATTCTCATATCTGCCAGCTTGAAGAAGGGACGAACTTAGGGACCAGGAAAAGCAGAAAGGGACAGGCATAACTTGGAAGACAAGGAAGAGATTGGACAATCCTCAGCAACTTGGAAAGTAAGAATCCAGACTTGAACAAGGGCCCCAAGGAAAAGGAAACACTGCTTTCTGCAGAGGGCTAGGCAGGTGGGAGTGGAGGCCAGGCGACAGAAGGCCTGGGCCCGTAACTATGCTGCCCAGTAGAGAGACTACCTAATCAAAGAGTCTTCCTCCCTCTTCCAGGTGCCTCAGGAGGTGTTAGGCAGTGCCCAGGGCTGCATCCTAACCAGCAGAATCCTCACAGCTGGAAAAGCTGCCAACATCCAATGAGTGCATTTCAAAATGTTCATTTCCAAACTAAAATCAGCACAATGTAGTGATGTATGCACACCAATATTTATAGAAGCATAATCCACAATAGCCAAGCTATGGAACCAACCTAGGTGCCCATTAATAGACAAATGGATAAAGAAAATGAGACATACATGCATAATGGAGTTCTGCTCAGCCATAAAGAAGAATAAAATTATGTCATTTGCAAGTAAATTAATGGAATTAGAGAACATCGTGCTAAGTGGAATAAACCAGACTTAGAAAGTCAAGAGTCAAATATTTTCTCTTGTACATGGAAACTAGAGAGAAAAAAGAAATTTAAAAAGGAATCTCATGAAAATAGAAGTACAGTAGAAGTAGGGAACCAGGAGGGAGGAGAGGAAAAGGGAAGCACTGAGAAATGAAGTTGACCCTGTATGAATATATCAGAGTGCATTCCAATTGTGTATATATAACTATAATGCAACAATACATAAATAAATAAGAGGGAGAGAATAGAGTAGAGGAAGGGGATCAGGGAAGGGATGAAGATAGGGAAAGAGGAAATACTGGGGGATTGAGATAGAGCAAGTTATGTTATATGCATTGATGAATATGTCAAAATGAACCTCACTATTATGTATAACTGTAATGCACTAAAAAGTAATAAATAAATAAAATGTTCATTCCACCTCCTTTTTGATCTCAGGTCCCTCTCAAAAGACTCCCATCACATACCTTTTTCAGCTTCTTTTTTTGCAGGGGGCAGTCAGTAGTTTTTGTTTCATTCCTTTTACATTTGGTCCTGCTGATCTTCACAGTAAGCAAATACTCCACTCCTGTTGTCAGCTGATGAGAAGCAACTGTTAGTTTTAACTCTATACATCCAATGACTGAGACTGTCCAAGAAGGGATAGAACTAGGATTGAATCCCCAGAGCCACAATTCCTGTTCCCATAGCTCACCCATCCAAAACTCAGCTCCTTTCTTCCTCTTGGCTTAACAAGTCTCAGTAGTACCCAAGGTTCCTGGTGAGCCCCCAATTCCTGGCCCCTGGATCAACTATAGATTGCTTATCTTCTGTTTCCCCTCCATATTCAGGACAAAGGAAGTGGCAGCAAGCTAGGTTGCCTAGCAACCACAAACCACTCCCGAGTGGTCACATACCATCTTCATAATGCAGAGAGCCAGTGTCTCATTTGTGTCCTCCCAGTCCCTACAGCCATTTCCTCCCTACCTAACCACCCCTTCCTGCCTGGTCAATGTGAAGAGAGAGAGAGAGTTTAGCACATAGCTAAAAATGGATTTCAGAATCAAAATTGATTTGGGGCATGCACTCCCCATTTACTGACTCTGTGACCTTGAGCAAGTTACTTAACAGCCTCATTTCCTTCACTTACAGAGTCCAAATAACCATTATGCCTTCTTGTGGAGTTAGTTATGTGCACTAAAGGGAAGCATGCAATTCACTTAATGCATTCAAAATACATTTTAAATTTTTTAAAATTATAAATTATTTAATATTTCAGTAAAGTATCTGGAACATTACTCTGGAGCAGCTATGGAGTTGGGAGAGCCAGAGAAGAGAAGACAGGAGATCTGGCTTTATCTCCTAAGATCTCTAAACTTGGATGATCCTTCCAACTCCCTGAATCTGTTTTTTTCTGGGGTATACAAGAATGAAGGAAGAGAATGTGGTAAATATGTGAGCTACAGGGAAGGCAAAGTCACGGCCATTTCCTATGGTTGTCCTTTGTCTTCTTTTACTCATGATCAAGTCTAACCCTGTGAAGACTAAAGGGAGGATGGTTAAGAAAGGTCTTTGTGGACAGGGAGATCCCACACTCAGAAGAAAAACTCTAATCCACTTTGCAAATGAGACATTGAGGCCTGTAGAGTTACATGATTATTGTTTCCTGTTGGGAACTGAGCTGGATTCCCCAGGTTATTAGAGAGCTCTGAATTGGTAAAGGAAAATGCTACAAGGAGTCCCCTACTTTCTTTCCCAAATGTCAGTGGTATAATCAAATGAAATAACTTGATGTTCTCTGGGGTTGTAGAAGCAAGGCATGTCCAGTCTGCTCCTGGAAGACTCCGCTAGAAAACTTCAGGGCAGGGCCTCAGGTATATCAGCCTAAAGCAATACTGTGACCCCAGCTCCAACATTCACTGGAAACACCCCAGGGTACAGATGCTCCTCTGCTGGTCATCAAAGGGCAGTTCCAACTATGAGTTGGCCTCTTGCAGGGCTGATCCAAACACTGTCACCCTGACCATCATATTCTCTGTATATAGGAAAAAATTACAATTCTTGTCATATATTTAACTAACAATCCAGTGTGCAAAGTATGATTCAGTTAGCCTTGATTTTTTTTTACCTTTGTCTTATTTATTTTTATGTGGTTGGTGCTAAGGATCGAACCCAGGGCTTTGCATGCACTAGATGAGCTCTCTACCACTGAGCCACAGCCACAGCCCCTTATCCTTGATTTTTGTAATAACAGCAAATGTTGTAATAATGTTTTAATAACAGCAAATGTTTTTACAAGTGCTATTAGATGTCAACACTGTGCTAAGTATTTCCCTCTTATTCTGACCCACTTCGCAGGTGAGGAAACTGATAATGGCAGAGTTGAGATGACACTTGACCAAAAGCCCACAGTTGGGAAGAGCTAAGTGTCAAAACCAGAAAGGATACTTGGAGCTCAGACTCAGGCAACCCTTCATACCAACCTGCTATAATACTCTGTAAGGTATTGGGACACTCATAGTCAGGGGCATTCACAATCAAATCTGCCCAGAGACCTGTCTCCAAGATCACCCAGCTATCAAGAGGCAAATCTGTTCTGTCGCTTATCGTTTTGAATGACATTAGAAATTTGTTCAGAAAGATTGTTTAGAAAGTCTTCTTTAACAGTTAACTGTTGATCATGGATTGATCTCACAAGTCAGGATTTGGAATCTTGGTTTTATCCTTGGGAAACAGATCCAAGACAACAAGTTAAGTGAGAACACTACCATCTGGCGGTAGAAGCATGTAATTGACAGGGACCCATAGGAATGTCGACTCTGTGGTAAGAGGACAGCCTGTGTATCACACTAACACTGCCCACCACAACACCCTGCCTTTCTGCCTGGCTAATCTTCCCTCTACCAAATGCTTGCATTTCTCTCTGGCTAGAGATCTTTCCCTTAATCAATTAGTTTTTCCCAATCTGGCTAAATTAAGACCTCGTACTGTCTTTGTCCTAAGTTACATAATTTATCATCTGAACTTGAGCGAAGGTTACACCAATAAAAGTGGTTTTCAAACAACTTCCCTTTACTTTATCATCTTTCAGTTGATATATTATTAAAACCTTGTAAACAGGAGGCAATGTAATTGAAGTCTATCTCCCACCTCTCCCACCTTTCCTGTCTCAAAAAGACTTCTGTGATTCTAGAACATAGAAAACCCAATCTGAAATTCTACAACCCTAGACACTGAAAAACTACTTTGGGGAAGAAGAAACCTGTAGAATGTTTGCATTTGCCAAATGAAACGCTTCTAAAAAACAGAAACATCCTGATTTATTATCCTCTGGAAAGAGCAGTAGGGAACCTCAGTGGACATGTTGCTTTTGACCAAGAGTAATGGAGTGAGGGTTGACTCCAGTCCTCAGACCAGTATTTTGAAAGCATGACTAAGGTAAACAACTCTAAAAGGCACCCATTCCAAGTGAAGCTGCTCCCCACTTGGAGTCACTGTCTTTGGCTTCTTTTGGGAGCCTCATCAGAAGGCCTATGTGTTGGCAAATACAAGAATGGGGGCCCTGAAAATGTCTGGAGAAACCAAGGCACAAACCTGCATCTGACTTCGAATTAGCTTTCGTACTCGAAATAAGTAGGTATCGTTGCTGGCGTTGTTGTAGGAATCAATGAAGAAGCTGAGTGTTGAGTTCCTATTGTTCTTGCTCATGGACACATTCTGGAAGCCCTCCCACCTTTCAAAGTGACCGAGTACAGCTACCAGCACCACCACAACCAGCAACAGCAGGGGAGTCCTCCAGTCTCTGAGGCCCATTTTTCAGCCTCAGAAACCTCCTCTCAATTGGCACAGGTGAGGGTACGCAGCGTCAGTAGCAATTCTCTTGCTCTTCCAAGGTGGATCTCACCAACAGCTTTTCCTGAAAGATGGCTTGCCTGCATTTAAACACAAATCAAGACCCAGGCCTCGTCCTTCTCAGGTCCTGAAGGAGGCCAGTCAAGGAAATCTCCCTGAAGGGCTTCTCAGCCCACACCAGTCAGTTTTCTACCCATTACAACACACAGTCCAGGCAAGGGAAGTTTCCAAAAACCTGAGGTATAAAAGCCTCCTTCCTTGCCTACATGCAAGAAAACTCCAGCACAGACCAGTACAGTGTTATTCAATAACAACTGACATAGAAGACGGGTAATATTTAAACTGAGATATAAGGAATCAGTTACATTTAACAAGGAGTACATTCTACATACCTACCTTGGGTTCCCAGAGTCCTACCAAGCCATCAACTATTCTGTGTGCTTCCTCTAAAGACAGGTTTTCCTTGCCACGCAGTTGTCACAGATTTCTGCCTATTAAGTCTAACTGTACCTGCAGGCCCTGGCACTGATTCTTGCCATCCCCAATGGAGTTTTGTGACATAATCCTACCCTCCCTATGAGGGAAGAATAATATGTGGGCCACATTAAGAAATTAATCCTACAGAGCCCTAAACTTTTCCTGCACCCAGAAGCCCAAAAGAACATCTTAGTTTTAAAACATTTATTAATGTGAGACTTGAACAGGATTCTCAAAAAAAAAAAAAAAAAAAAAAAAGAATGCTCATGGGATAATTGATAAAATGTGAATGAAAACTGTAAAATAGTTAATAGTGTTGTCATTTGCTAACTTCTTAGTTTTCATCATTATACCGCAATTTTAAAATGTTAACATTTGGGGACATGAAGGATATAGGACAAGGCTTTATGTTATTTTTGCAACTTCTTTGGAAGACTGAAATTATTCCAAAATAAATGTTAAAATATCCAAAACTAAATAAAACTATTGATCTGTAAGAATCAGCATGATATGGCAGGGGAAGCACAAGTCTCATTATCCAATTTTCCTGGACTAAGTCTCATACTAGGGATTCTGGGAATGTTATTTCATCTCCCTGAGCCTCTACTTCTTTGTCTGTAACACGAGAATGGAGAAAAGACTCATAGGTGACTAAGTAGATAAAGGTAAAGAACCTGTTCCCAAGTCAGGCTTTTGTGGGTGTTCAGAAAACATCTATATGATTTTTCTCTGGCTCTGAATGCAAACACCTATGTTTGTGATCTGTGGACCCCCTAGCCCCTAAACCAGGCCACCCTCCATTGTGAAAATCCTTCCAGGACCATTACAATATCCACCCTTGATCCCGGAGCCTACCTTGCTAGGACATATCCAGCCAATGTAAATGGAAGCTTTGGAATTCCTTGAGCCAGAGCAGAAGACAACTACTGGAGAATAGATGCAAAAAGATTCCAAATAATATGTGAGGCTATCTATCTCACCTATCTCAGATCTGGGTGATCTCAGCATGCTCTAGAAATCGGGGATGCATCTGATGAACTGTAGACCTCAGAGAGGACAATTAAAATTCAGTGAGTTGTATAAGAAAACCCATGAACATGAAGCTAAAAGTATTAAAAACAAATCTGCTTAAGAAATATGGGAGTTAGTAATTCTAAAGGGATCAAAGACTTAGGCATTAGACCAAAGACCCTGTGCCTAACAGAATAAAAAGTAGGCACAAATCTATATCATGTCAGCTTGGGAATCAACTCCCTTAACAAGACTGCTGAAGATCAAGAAGTAAAATCAAGGATCTATAAATGGGATGGAATCAAACTAAGTTTCTTCACAGCAACGGAAACAATCCAGGAAGTGAAGAGACAGACTACAGAATGGGAGAAAATCTTTGCCACCTGAACCTCAGATAGAGCATTAATCTCCAGAATATATAAAGAACTCAAAAAAATTAACCCAAAATACAAATAATCCAGTCAATAAATGGGCAAAAGAACTCAACAGATACTTCATAGAAAAAGAAATAAGATAGGTCAACAAATATAT